AGGGAGGGTGGTGTTGGTTGTCACTGAAAGAGAAAGCAAGTGAGGATGGGGGAGGGGTGCTGGATGGAGAAGCACAGGAGGGAGGGATGGAGAGAAAGAGACTGCACAAGCATTCATATATGTGTAGTGTGCATGAGGAAAGAGAAAATGATGTTATGCATGCAAGACTTCCTTGCTCACATCTCAGACAGAGCTGCTAATGTAGCACGCGTGCACAAGAAAAAAAAACATGTCATTTAGTTTGATTTAATTTCATAGGTCCAAAGACATTCCAGTGGCTAAATCTACAGCTGTTCAGGGTTGTTTGTTTGATGCTGAATAATTGAGAGCTTGCGCTATAAAAACAAAGCTGAAATACATGGTAAATTACTTATTTCCAGTCCACTTTCGATAAAAAAATTACACACTCACCCTCACATCCAATTCACTTAGCAACATCTTACAATAAATGCCTGAACAGAAAGTGAAGAAATTACCAGGTACATTGAAGGTGAATGCTGTGTATCTTTACCCAAAAGAGGGTAAGCAAATGCACACACAAACCTAAACTAAGAGAAGGTCTTGTTATATTTGTACAAAAATGTACAAATTAAAATTAAACTAACCTGAAAATATAGGAAAACTAAATAAAATTATAACAATAACAATGTCAAATTCAAATGTCAAAGCTGTTCAGTTCTTTGGCAATTCAATTTTATTTTGCTTCCGCACTGAAATATGACTGCTGTACATATAATATGACTAAATTTAAAGAGCTTCCATTGTCACAAATGCTTGTGTTATCCAAAATTTGAGTTTGTGAAGAGAGAATATAAAGATATAAAACTGAATAGTGTTTCTCACTGCAACAGAGATGATATAGAAATTATTGTAATCATTTTTAAAATTGGAATTGGAGAGGAGTAATTTTAGGAGTGCATGATTAAAATGTTTCATTTAAATATATAAATTATTTGATGTAGTAATTAACTATCAACCCTGAGTTCAGATGATACATAAACCAGGCACTTTTACACATTGGGCAGCTGCACAACACATACAACCTGATAGAAACCGTTCTCTGTGTTTGAATGACTGTTCACACAAAGATAGAGTTTATTTACTTCTAGCTTCCCGAAGTTGATATCTTTGGCTAGTTTAACAGACCCTATCCCTTCAAACATCTTCTCTGTCATGGACTCCTGCGATTTGGCCAGGGTGAGGTGGTATGTTGGGCATCGGGAATGGCGGTGTAGCCAGCCCTTCTCCTTGAAGGCTTCTTGGATAGGGGAATTCAGGCACTGGACATCGAACAGGGGTTGTGGGGCCACATGGAGAACAGTCCCATTAAAGTGCTTTAGTTTTGGGGTGAAAGACACAGAAATTGGGGGTTTGTGGGAGTTTCTGACTGTGGAACGCAGGAGCTCAGCAGCAGCGCTGACTTCCTCTGGGCCCTTCAGGACAAGTAAGGAAAGAGTGACGTGCAAAGTTGCAGGGTCCACCCATAGCGGCTCTGACTGAGGAAGCTGGGAGAGAACCTTTTTCTGAACGCGCTGAAAGGCCTGGAGAGCAGCGGGAGAGTCCACACGGAAGCAGATGAAGTGGGTGGCTTTGCGTGGTGGTGGACGGTTGGACCGAGGTTCTTGTGGCAAGGATGATACTGGCTCTGCTTCTGTACCCCTCTCTCCATCCCAGCTGTCCTTCCATTCTTCCACTATTTCAGTCTGTTCCTCTTTCGGCGCGATGGATAACTCCTCTGCCAACTGATTCAAATCTTCGGTAGCTGACATATTTTGGTCTTCTTGTGCAGATTCTTTTTGCAAAAGTAAAGTATCATCTTCAGCATTTTCGGTAAATGAGTGATCTACAGCATCTCCCAGTTCTTGTTTGTTTGTTTTAATTGCAGCTGCACCATCATCCTGTTCTTTAGAAAATTCAGTCGCTTGCTCTAGGCCATCTGCTGTGTTGGTGGTCTCTTCGTGTTGTTCAGTGTCAGCTAAATTGTCTGAGAATTTAATAATTCCAATATATTAAAATTAAAATACATAGTATTTTATTAAATGAATACTATAAAATTATTATATAAAATAATGCTGTTTATTATTGAATAACTATAATACTGAAATATTAAATTAAATATACAATTCATCAACTCAAACATTTTTCTATCATGAGTATATTTTTAATCAATTGAAATTCATTAGGATATATGTTTTGGGACATATAGTCTTAAAGGGGTCATATGATGCGATTTCAAGTTTTCCTTTCTCTTTGGTATTGAAGAAAAGGCTTCATTAAAATAATGAAATTCTTGAAAAGAAAACCTTCAATATAATCTTTTATTATTTTAATATTTTATTTTATTAGTCATATGGTAAGAGCAAAAAAAAATCCACACAGTTCAACCAACACACCAAAAAAAACAAAAAACAGAAATTATTAAACACAGAACTACTAATAATGTGGTTTAAAGTAGATGTTTAAATATTTGTCGTTTTCTTTATTGTGAACACTCTTTTATGGCATTGATGCAATAACCAATTTCCAATAAACAACACGTTTCCCAGCCAAAATAATACTGTCACTCACCTTGATGCTGATTCGCACCACCAAAAGGGGGCAAAATAGTCTGCCCTGTTGAACCGAACATCCTGTCAGTGCGACTGTCCCTATCCCACACTCGCTGGCCTTTGTAGCTGAAGTACTGGATCCTATGACGAGGGATAGACAGCTCCTCAGAGAAGTCACAGTCACAGACCTAATGAGGAACAGTGTTAAGGCTTATGACCATACAAGATATATGGTAATGAACCATATCAGTGCTGATGTAACAGACCTGAGTGTCCCAAGAGAATTCAGAGAATGGCCGTTCCAGCACCCCAAGGAAACGGTCCAGGTGACCGACTATAAAATCAGCTGGGTCCACTGAGGAGTCCCATATAATTCTGGAGATGACATCGTCGGCTGTACGCATGCGTGGCTTCTTCTTACACCCTGAGACAGAAAGGCATCTATTTGTAAACCTGAAGTATGAATTTGAAAGCTAAAGTACCTCTGCACTTCATTATTTCTATAAACACACCTTCCTTCTCATTCCTTATATGCTGCTTTTCTGCGTTTATCTGTTTTCTGTTTTTTTGGGTCTTGCTCTGCTTTTCTGTGACGGCTGTATCATCTTCCTCTGAGTGTGTGCTTTGAGGGACGTCAAGTACACTGTGAAGTCAGGAAAGAGCAATGCATTATTTATCCACTAAGCTTCAATGAACATTCCCAAGATCTAACAAATTTCACATATTTTACGGCAACTACAAGACACTGTGCCAACTGCTGTTGAAATGAAAATATCCAGATAATAAATCATGTCTAGCATGAGGTTAGTTCGCTAGTTGGGTCTCTACCATCCAGAGTGATTGACAGACCTGTGAGACAGTCGACATCTGTCTCCAAAATGACATCTGCCCAAGAGGAAGTGCTGACAAATGTTTAGGCTAGTTTCTTGTTTCATCTCATCTGGTACGATGGGAAAGGGAGGAAAAAGTCAAATAAATACATTCATGCACTGACTGATTACACAAGACAAAGTTAATCTATAACTACTGGGACAATAAAAGTTAAGCTCTCCCAGATTAGTTAAGGTAGACGTGATGTAGCGTAGTGTGAAGATGTAAATGGTGGTATTCAAAACAGGTACGTTTATGATGGACAAAATAAAAGTCTGAGGCAAATTTCTGTGCAGCATGTTTCAACACATGTCTTCAACTCCACCCACCACCCACACATTTACACACCTGTTGTGGCATAATAAACAAACCTATACTAACATTCAAAAGTTTGGGGTAGATAGGATTAAATAAAAATAAATTTATACTTTTATAAAGCAAGAACACATTATAACTTTTACACACTTTTATAGTGTTACAAAGGATTCCCATACTGAATAAATGCTGATCTTTTGAACCTTCTATTCATCAAAGAATCCTGAAAAAATGTATCACGGTTTCCACAAATATATTAAACAGCACAAAATTGAAAATAAGAAATGCTTCTTGAGCAGCAAATCAGCATAGCAGAATAATTTCTGAAGGATCATGTGACACTGGAAACTGGAATAATGGCTGCTAAAAATTTGGCTTTGCCATCACAGGAATAAATTACATTTTAAAATACATTAAAATAGAACATTTTAAATTGTAATAATATTTCATAATTATATGTTTTTCACTATACTTTTGATCAAATAAACTGCAGCATTGGTGAGCATAAGAGACCTCCTTCAAACATTAAAAATATCTTACCAACCCCAAACTTTGAAATGATAGTGTAGCCCTACATGTAATCTGCACAAATGGATACCTTCCTTGGAAGATAGGTACATACTATATCCTAAATCTCCCCATGTAACAACAAATGACAATTTGGGGGCTTCAACACAGCACAAATGTCCCTTTAGAAAGGTTTTCATTGAAAATAGCACAATAATGGCTTGTAAGTGCCCTTACTAGGACTACTGGTGTGGAAGCAGACTTCTCTTCATGAATTTTATATTCTCTACCCTGCACTTACAGTAAGCCTACAGCAATTTTGTACAAAACGAACCTATACTTGGCTAGAAATTATGGATAATTATATGAAAAGGCTTTTCACTGCCACCTTCAGGTCATTTGCATTATAGCCTCCACCTCTACAGTATTTGTTAAAGGCGGTGACCAAAGAGTTTTATTGTTATCAAATTAGATAACTTTGTACATTTCAGCACTACTTAAAATGACTAAATGATGTAAAAGACAAATGACTTACTAGCACTACAACTCATAAGCTGTGAAGAAAAACCTTTAGAATTAAAATACAGCTTTTTGTATTTAACATACTTAATGTATTGGTGACAATGTAACTCATTTAAGAGTAAATAAATGTCATATAAGTCTTACCTATGTGGATTTGTCTGTCAGAATCCTCTGTCAGGTTTTCCTCAGTTCTCGTTTCCTCACATGCCATATTTGACAGCTTCAACAGAGCTTCATTGAAACAAACAAGTTACATTTAGTGTCATTTAAAAGCCAACTTAAGCATAATCATTTTGCCATAGTGTACTGTAGTCGGTAAGACAAAAAGGAAATATTACGTAAAAACCATTTTGGCATAATAGGGGAGAGCATGAACCAGCCTACCTCAAGTCACAATGAATCCGAAAACTAGCTTCGAAGTTGACTGATTAGTGTTAATGTTAACATATACAAGATGACACCATCTGGTTCAAATGACTCATAGTTAGCCTACAAACTGCGCGAATGATTGATAAACAAATACATTACACACACTAATGAAACAATGTAAGTCAACAAAGTAACCTTCTGAAGATACTGTTTATATTGGATGTAACATTTACTGTACATTTTATAATATAGGTGTTTGTTTATTATAGTCAAACATTCTTACTGTGCTGCTAGGGCAATGTTCACAAAGGCCCCTTCCGGTGTTAAGGCGTCGGGTTCTTCTTTAGTTTTTTGGCGCATAACAATCTAAATGTATAGCGCCACTTACAGTACGTTGCAGTTGTGCAGTCATGCTATCTATTATCGTCAAAATGACTTATGAACATAACAAAAAGTCTTGGGGTTCTACTAGGTATTGTAGTTTTCGGCAAAATAATTATAAAAGTTCGACTAGTTTCCGCGAATCGGTTCTTTTAAACAGTTTGGTTCAATATCTTCACGTGGTCCTTTATATCCAAGCATATTCCACGCTCCATTTTCCTCTGAAGACACGTAGACGCATACTGCTGAGTATTACAGTTAGATGTTGTATTAACAATACATTTGATTGTACTTTAATTTGTCCCAGTTCAGTCTATTGAAGCCATGATTCCGCTCATAAAACATTAAGTGCCATTTGCGTTTACAATGAACTAAAATGCATTTCAATATTTCGCCGGAGAAAGGCTTTTTTGCATATCTCGAGTGAGCTGTTCATTTGAGAACCGCTCGGACCGTTTCATTATGAATTGTCAGCGATTCATTCAGATCAGTTCATTTGAATCATCAAAATGATTCAATTCTACAAAAGATTCGTTCATGGAACAAGGAGCGCTGTAAAGCATTCAGCGGATTACGGAAGCGATAAAAACAATTAAATCACTCGAAATAGCAAATGTGTACGTGGTGCCACCATGTAACTACAACAGAAAATCATATGAATTGATTATTTGGACTGTACCGTTGGCTATGCAGTGTGACAGACAAGAGCAGCTGTGTGAGTCACGCGCACGTTGTTGTGATCTAAGCGCGCGTGACTTCCCCATCACATGACACACAAGAAAGACTGAAAAGGATGGACCTAACAATGTAAACAAAATAAAAATTATCATCGTATTTCAGTGACGATTTAGTAAACCACATCGGTTAGGATATTGTACCATTTATGCTGACTAGAAATAAATTACATCGTTAGCAACATTGACAACCATGCAGAACCTGTAGACAGACAGTTGATATTGTGAAAACTCCATTGCAATGTCTTGTTCTGGTTAGTTTACTGGTACCAGTCGGCGCTATAGCTGTACCCAGCTGATAAAGGTAAGGCTATTGTATTTTCCTATATCTAATTTCCTTTTGCATTAAATTTTAGGCAAGGCACCACTTGTGAACTGAGTAACAATTTATATCACCATACTTCCCCAGTTAATTAATCGCAGTACATTATTTATATATTGTGTCTACATTTTGTATCACTTTGAACGTTATGTTGAAATGTGCAGATGCATTATGTAATTAAAAATGCGCATATACATGTATACATTTCTAGAAGAGAAATCTGAACATAGGATAAAGCCATTTTCAAAAATTGTTTCATTTGGTTGACGCTCTAGAGTTTAAAGTTTTCTACTGAGAGGATTTTGGATATTTCTTCTTTTTCACTCAATAAATTACAGAATACTGTCAACATTCAGGAAAAAACAAACTGTATTTTTAGGAATACAATTTTATATAAATCAGTCAAATGTAAAAAAATAAAAATAAAAAAAGTTTGGTTTATTTATAGTATCTCACAGAAGTGAGTACACCCCTCACATTTTTGTAAATATTTTATTATATCTTTTCATTTGACAACACTGAAGAAATGACACTTTGCTACAATGTAAAGTAGTGAGTGTACAGCTTGTATAACAGTGTAAATTTGCTGTGCCCTCAAAATAACTCAACACACAGCCATTAATGTCAAAATCGCTGGCCACAAAAGTGAGTACACCCCTAAGTGAAAATGTCCAAATTGGGCCCAAATAGCCAATTTCTCTCCCTGGTGTCATGTGACTCATTAGGCCACTAAGAAGTGATGTAAGCCGGTCGACAGCAACGTCATTTGTGCGCAGCGTTCAACAACAGAAACAAAGAACAACGTTAACAACAGGAGGATGGAGGACGCTGTGATTGGAGCTGTGTGTTTGTTGTGTCTCGCGGGTTTCACAGTGGACATGGAAAGTCGACATATACGTAAAGCGATTGAAAGAACGGAAAGGAGGACTAAGAATCTCCAACGACAACTGGCAGTGCTACATTTGCTACAAGTGCCTGCACTTCAGCGTCTGTCCATCTATCGCTGTTCTCCATACTTGCGAAATAAGTTGACAATGTTTACAGTATGTTTACACGGAGTTTTAAATCATGGCGGGTGAGGGCGTTTTCGTACACATTTGGCCAATCAATGTCTACTTACGTCACGATTAGTACCAGTTGTGCTGGTTAGACCCTGCTCCGGAGTAGGAGCTAATTTGGTTCTCAAAAAAGGCAGTCCGGTACTAAAATCACTCCCAGTTCCGGCGGTGCGAACACGGCGAAAAGTGGGTAGTTCCACAATTAGTTCTGGTACTATGAAAAGGTTCCTGCGGTGCGAAAGGCCCTATTAGTGTTACAAGGTTTCAGGTGTGAATGGGGAGCTGGTGTGTTACATTTGGTGTTATCGCTCTCACTCTCATACTGGTCACTGGAAGTTCAACATGGCACCTCATGGCAAAGAACTCTCTGAGGATCTAAAAAAAAAAATCGTTGCTCTACATAAAGATGGCGTAAGCTATAAGAAGATTGCCAAGACCCTGAAACTGAGCTGCAGCACGGTGGCCAAGACCATACAGTGGTTTAACAGGACAGGTTCCACTTAGAACAGGCCTCACCATGGTCAACCAAAGAAGTTAAGTGCACGTGCTCAGCGTCATATCCAGAGGTTGTGTTTGGGAAATAGACGTATGAGTGCTGCCAGCATTGCTGCAGAGGTTGAAGGGGTTGGGGGTCAGCCTGTCAGTGCTCAGACCATACGCCGCACACTGCATCAAATTGGTCTGCATGGCTGTCGTCCCAGAAGGAAGCCTCTTCTAAAGATGATGCACAAGAAAGCCCGCAAACAGTTTGCTGAAGACAAGCAGACT